CTTTTTTTACGCCATTAAGATCAATTTGTTTTACACCTAAGACTTTATTTTTGCAAACAATCCTTGAAGCAATAATTTTTGCAAACGATTCTACAAGCTGTAACTTCTGCAAACGATTCTTCAAGCATGAACTAAATGATACAATCGTGACAGAAGCTGGTTGTTTTCAGTGATTAGATCAATTCTAAAAATATTATTTTCTGGTGCAATGCTTTTAATTCGTAGAGCTATTTAGTTATTGCTCCTGCGATCATTAGGAATATTAAATTACTCTTGTTTTATGACTTATAACGCTTTTTGAATTCCATGTCGAATGAACGGTTGATATCCTTTTTGACCTGAATGGAACTTGTCTTATCATTCCAATCGATGTAAATAAAATTTCTTGAAGTGATTGGAGCTTATAATTCTATTTCTAATTGCACGAGGAAATAAAATAAGAATATTATTTGCATTCTGAGAGTGGAGATTAGTATATATCGCTGTAATTAAATAAATATCAAGGCGGAAAATCATCTAGTTTTAATTATAATACACATTTCTTTACACGTTATTTGAACTAATAATGAGTCGTTTTATGTTCGCGCCGCCAGTTTTAAATGACGCTTCAGCTTTATACAACTTATAGTTTTTTTTTTAATTACATGCCGTATGAAAACGACTGATAACCTTTTTTTAAAAAAAGAAAAACATAAATGTTTTTGTTATCATTGAAAATCGATGTAAATATTATAAGAATGAATTTAATTTTTCCTTTTACTAATTGCTTGTATTCATGAGGAAATATATTAAGAATATTTGTCCAGATTAATCCGCTTCATAGTAATTAAACAAGATCAGAGCGGCATATAGGCTTTATTTTTAATAGTGGCTATAATAGCTTTTAATTTGTAACTTGGACCTTATACTCTACTTACATTACTCTAGAATTCATTTTACATTTATTATTTTTTGCAAGGCTGCAGGTATGTATTAATGGTTGATACATTTTTGACCTGAATCATATTTGGCGTTTCTATCAATGCGAATAAAACTTCTAAAATTGATTGGAGCTTATTGATCTGTTTCTAATTGCACATATGTAAAGAAATCAAGCGGAACCGAGAATGTCATTTATGTAGCAAACAAAGATTATAATTATGATAGATAAGATACGATAATAATTTAATCGGTACCAAATCATAAAATCAAAGCATATTTAATAACGCTTTGAACTCTCTAATATGTACACAGGTTAAGAATTATTTGAAAAATTTACCTTATTTACATTTGCGGTGCCAGTAAGTGATATTCTTATAATACTTTACATAAAATAAAGTAAATTACCAGTTTTCTGTATTCTTTTCATTTCTGTAACTTTGTAATGCCATTCGTTATGTCTAAGCACATGATATCGGATGTTTTACAACGCAGCATTTCTTTTTCCTTTAAAAAAAAATACTTCATAATTCTTGCATTATTATTCATTGCGCTGTTATTTTCAAGCATTAACTTCATTTCACTTTGATGGAGATGAAAGTATGATATTGTAAGTTGTTAAAAATTTTGCTTTATTTTATAATTTAAATATAAAACATATTCCTTGCTGTTAACGTCGCTTTCATATCTTATCAGATTTTATGAATTATTAGTCACTTTTTTAAACATGAACATGGCTTGCCTTATCATTTCTACCAACATTTTTAGAATGAATGTAATATTCCTATTTTTACTAAAAGTACTAGTTTTACACTAAATGTATTAGTCCAGTTAATCTGCGTCATAGTAGTTAAATTATTAGAGTTTGATATCTGTTATTTAATGATGGCTAAAATATTTTTTAATATTTTGCGTTTTCTTAGTATATTTATCTTTTTAGTTATTATATTCTTCCATTGTATTTTTAAGTTAAATATATATTATACATTGGTAAATTCTTTAAAATGTCATCACTATTAATATCATAAAATTTGAAACGTTAAAACTTTTGGTTGTACATTTATCATGAAATATATTGATAGATTTTATGATAAGTGACTATTATTTCATATAGGGTAGTGCATAACATAAGTAAGTAACAACTGTTAAACATTGTTAAGTACATAAGGTGTGCTAAAAACGAGCCATTAAATAAATGCCATTATTTCAAAAAAAACCTAATGAACATGATTCCTCTATTTGTTTTAATGACATTATTTTACAAGTCTAAATTTAATTGTTGAAATGTTTTAACTAATTGATATGTGTTAAAAATCTATTGCCTTTCGAAGTATATGCCTTTTAAATAATCTATCGGTAATTTCAAGAACAATTTATACTAAATTTTGTAAAATTAACACTTATGCAAATGCATTATTTTGATACAAAAAATCACTGTTTAACAATAAAACGAAAACGTGTCCATAGACATATCATAGTTTGTCACTCCTGTAATAACAACAATTATAAAAGTTTCCTTTTTACAATTTAATTGCATTTTTATGTAATCAATTATAATGCTTAATTTTTTTAAATAATTTATAAATTTTTCGATTTATAAAGCTGTTTTAGTAAAATTATGTTGCTTAAAATAGATTAACATTTAATTTAGTTTACTTAATTATATTAACTAATTTTATTGAACAACAATTGTAATATTTTATGATTTTTCAAAAAATATATAGTTGGTATCTCTTTAAACCACTAAAAAAATTACAATAAAATATATCAGCATTAAATGAGAAAATAAATTTAACAAACTGGTAAATGTATCATTCTATCTAGGCTTAACAAGCATTTCCCTCCTCTATAATTAATAAAATGACTAAAAGCAAATCTCTTGTAATAAAAACCTAACGTCAGAACTATTTTTTTAAAAGAAAAACTTGTAGTAAACATTTTTAAGGAGGTAATAGTAATCAGCTAAAAATAGTGTTTTTTCTAGTAATAAAAAATTAAAACCACTGCTACGTATTTTTCAAAACATGTAGTTATCAATTAACGTAAGGCATCTTTTTAAACGCATTTTCTATTTAATGGGACAGATATTTTCTTTGTCTCACAACTGATTTTTTCAATACTGTAATAGATTTTTTGTATAAAATTGTGGAAATGGACTGGAAAATGCTATACAGTGTATAATTCCTTCGACTTATCAAAAACTATGAATTCATTAAAAAGAAATAATTTTTAAAGGGAGCTACGCACTATTACTTTTTTTTAGAAAATTTGATAAAAATGTTAAAAAATAGTTGAGCCTGGTAGATATATATATTTTTTTTTTTTTTTTTTTTAATGAAATACGAAATTTATGAAAGTTAATTCTATTCCACCTGTGCGTCAATGTGATATGCACTACATCTTTCTTTCTGGTTTATATGAATTTTATTTATTATTTCTGAAAATAATCGATTTAATTAGTTTGGAAATTATAAGAATGATGTTTCGGCTTAAACATAGATTGGTATTACATTTTTTTCTTGTTCTTCTCTAATTAATACTTATTTCCATTCAATATTTCAACTCTTTCTCACTGTAGGTTTGTATATCCCTTAGTTTTTCTTGGCTCTATTAGGTGCGCATGAGGAAATTGAAATATTGAATAAAAAAATGAGTAAATTTGATTTTAATTTCGTCTAATTTATCATATAACTCTTCCTGTATGATTATCGGAGGCGTATAGTGGAATTTACTTTCGTCTTGCGTGGGGTAAAGTGGTCTTAGTAATGCCTTTGTTTACATTTGGTGAAAGAAGTTTCCTCATTTTTCCCGTTTTAGCAGCCTTCACGCGTGGGACAGCACCTTGAAGGTCGCCATATGATTACAAAACTTCTTTCTCTACTAAATTCACTTTTTTTCTTCTTTTTTTTAACGCCAAATTTCTCAGATCCCACTTAGTGATTCTTAATGATTAAGCGTAGGTAAAGTTGTTTTATGTGTTTCAAATGAAACTTTTTTTTTCTCTTACTCATCAATACAAAAAAAAAAGTATTTAAGAAGAAGAAAAATAAAAGTACTAAGAGAACGGTAAATTTTTTTTTTTTTTTTTNTCGGCTCTTCCACACAGAAAGGTACATTTTTTTTTTTTGTATTTCTGATTTTTCATTCTTGACAAGTGATTCTGCAAAACAATAATCAGTTTTGTTTATAAAATTTTTATTAAGTTACAATTTATATATAAAATTTGAAATATGATATTGATACCTGCTAAAACACTTAAATGTTTTTTACTCATAATTATTTTGTTTTTGTTTGTTTTATTATTTTATTTGTTTTTATTATTCATATATTATTTATTTTTATTGCTCATTATATTATTACTCATCAATACAAAAAAGAATTGTATTTTTTTAATAAAAATAATAAAAGTACTAAGAGAAAGGTACAATTTTGCTTTTTGTATTTCTGATTTTTCATTCTTAACAAGTAATTCTGCTAAATAATAATCAGTTTTGTTTATAAAATTTTTATTAAATTGAAATTCATATATGAAATTTGAAACATGATATTGATACCTGCTAAAACACTTACCTAATATTTATTTTGTTTGAATTAATTAATTTATTACATTATTTATTTTTGTTTTCTCATACGTGTTGTTCATTATGTAGATAATAAAAATAAATGAATAAAAAAAATTACAACCGTTAATATTTTTTTGACAAATATCTCTCCTGTGTTTGCAGTTTTCAATTTATTAAGTAGTTTTTAACATCAAAAAAAAATTAAGTCTGAATTAATACAAATTTCAAAAATAAAAATGATTATATTCTTATTGAAAACTTAAGATATAATTTTTGAGCGTGTATGGCAATGTATTTCATCAAGAGTTATCGACGATACCAAATAAACATAAGCTGTTATGGTATTTCAGCTGTGTTTTCATCCATTGTTTTTATTAGGATTAAAATAAAATCGTTTAATAATCCTAATGAAATAACTATTTCAAATACAACTCATTACATGAAAAATATTATTTGGTTTAAAGATTAAAATGAATACTTAACATTCCTTATTCTAATTATTTCGTTTCTCTCCTCTAGATTGATTCCTTCATCCATACCGATGGCAAGAGGCACAAAACCTGCAACTCAACTCAACCCACTCGTAAATGATGGTTATTGGCCGCCTACGGCAAGACACTGAAAACCAGGAATACTTAGTGCACTGTGTTCCGAATAGAGTGGATGCTATTTTCTTCAACAGCTGATAGCTTAACAAGTCCTTTTTCCGCAACTAGAAAATCGGGACTCATTTTAAAGAGTTTGCGGACGACCCCGTGATTAACCAAGAATCGCACCTTTCGATTGAGTATCTTCTTTCATGTTCCTTTTTCGTCTTCTTCTTGGCGTCGTCATCAATAATTCCATCATCCGTGATTCTGAACCTGATTAACCTTAAAAAATATCCAGGACGATGGAGTTAATGGATTTTGGTGTTCTCTGATGTTTTAATGTCACAATTTTGTTTTCTAGTTACTGACATCACTGCCATATTTATATTTTTTAAGTGTCATTACTCTCATCAGCAGTGATTAATCCTTTTTTGTGTTTTTTGTTTGTGCTTTAAATGGATGAAGTTTTGTATTTTTTAAATGTGGAAACCATTTCGCCACTGCTTTAAGAACACACGCCAAAAGAGAAGCAAAAATTAATCGAGCTTATGACACAACCAGTTTAGCATTTAACTTTTACAATATTTCATCAAGCTTTTAAATGGGAATAAAACGCTTCTTTATGTTATGTGTATTTGGAAAGGAATATTTACAACTTACGACTCTAAGTAGTTTTTTATAAGTGGTGATGATACACTGGATACATGTTCTCCAATGTTCTTTTTCTTCGACATTTAACTGTAACCCTAATGCTACAAATTTAAACGTCTTACTAACTGGTGCTTGAAAAATAATATTATTTTAAGTGCTGTCCTACGTTTTTAAATGTGTTACGTAGTGAGCCGTTGTAAATGTGTGGATATTTCGTTGAGCTACAAGTTCACTGTTCTATTTAGTGTTTTTCCGTGATTGTCCAAGGTATATTTAAGTTTTCCATAATGGCTTTTCGCGGAGGCAAGAGGAAAGATGTCAAAAAGCAATCCTATTATGTTTGGTTTCTTGGTGCTAAAGAAAGCAAAGGTCTGCGCGGAGAGGAGTATATCAGGCCAGTTCTTAGACATTTAGTCGACAAAGAGCGTGAGCTTGAGCCTATGAAGGTGACCTTGCAAATCAGTAATAAAGGTATAAAAATAATACAGAATGTTCCCCGAAAGAACAATAAAGGTAAAACAGAAATGATAAAACATTTTATACCACACCACGCTATCACATGCGTGATGCAGGAGTCAAAGCCTAATGACGACGTTGTGTGCTGTATATTGCTCATCTACAATCCCCTTACTAAATGCCCTGTACATGTACACGCGTACAGGTGCTGTTCTGTGGAAACTGCTAGTACTCTACGTTCTCAGTTACAAATTTTAATTGATAGGCCTGAAAATCAGAAAAAGTTTCGAGAAATTGAAAATAGGTTAGCCGCCAAAGGGCTGTTGCCAACTAGAGGACATAATTCGGATGGTAGATCTACAAGAACTGATGGATCTGATCGAACAGAAGATTCTTCTGGAGGTACGTTATAAGCGTTTTTTTAATTGATTTTTTATAACATTTTTTTGAACTATAGGTATAAAGAAACGTTCGTAATTTTGAAAACAATTTTATATGTTATAATAGTTTGTATAATCCATTTCTAAATAATTTTTCCTACTTTACTTTTAAGCAAAAAATAACACTCTTTTAGTTTTACACCTTATAATGCACCATATAATAGCTTTACTAAGTGTAAGAGCGCAAAATTTGTAGGTAATATAGTTGAATTTAAAATGTCTCAAATGCTGCAATTATGTAATATTAAATAAATGTTTTTCAATCAAAAACAAAAATCGTTGCAATAGAAATCAAAGTGAAAGTGCATCAATGAAATTTTTTTTCATTCTGGTGTTTGAGTTATTGCAAAACTGTTAAGGTATAACCAATTTTAATCCCAGGAATATTTAAAGGAATTCTATTTATTTTTAGTTTTAAAATCTTATTAATTATTTTGCATATCTACAGCTTTCAAAGATAATGAACAATCTTCATTGTTTTCCTTTTTTTATCTCTGGTTCTTGTGCTTTTCCAGTAGGGTGATTCTTCTCTAACTTCCTGATAGTATTTCTATCATATGAGAGACTTACCAAAGTTCAGTTTCCGATTTGATCTAATTGGCATGTGTCAAGCGCCAGCAAAAAGGAGGTAATCGTTAACAATACCAACGATTCACTCCTTGCATCTTAGTGTTAAAATTAGAGCCTAGACCATCGCTAGACTGCTCCAGCGCGCACACGAGCGCAGCTGAGAGCGTAACTGATTAGATTACGCTGTGTCCACCGACTGGCTATTGTTCTAAATGAAGATAGAATATTTTAAAGATTTCCTCGGGACGGTGATCAAGAGTATCAAAGACTGTCGGCTCTTCCACACGGAAAAAAAAGCTTTGGATATCCATTTCTTCCTGTTCTTCGTCGAAGCTTTTTGGGATTTGTCGGACTTTCTGGATGAGTACCTAAGCCCGATAATAAATTACGCAAATTTTCTGACGTTTTCTTCCATGAAAGGATTGAAATAGCGGATTTTTTTCCGGCTTTGTTTTGTTCCCTGTCTATAGTTGTTGATGAGGTCGCCTTTAACTTTCAGGGCAATGTCCTTCTTGACGATCTAAAGAAATTGAGGAGATAGTTAAGAGTATTTTTACCTTTTTCAGTAAGCATTTCTAATTGTTAAGCTCATTTTCATCTAGTGCGTGTGAGGATGTTCCACTACTAACTTTCTTATCGAAATAATGTTGTATGAGAAATTAAAGTTTTTTTTTTACCATATTAATAGTTATTTAAATTATAGAATTGGAAAAAAATCTCATAAAAGAATTATGAAATATCTCTCAATGCAGTGTAAAAAAATCTGTTAAATTTACCTAAAAAAAACTGTCATCTGGGGTTTCTGAATAAAACCGTTTATTTAATAGAGAAATATTCTTATTAAAAAATAGACGCTTGTTTTTAAAGCAGTTACTGTTATGTAACAAGCAAACTGTTATTTAAACAAACAATTCTATAAAATAACAACGTCAGCATTGTGATTGGTGTGAGCCAGGTGCAACATTCTTACGACCAATCGACGCTGGGATTTGAACTTGGGTCCCCTTATTGAAAGCCGAGTTCTCTTTCCTCTGAGCTACCACATCTCTATTGTTACGGTATGCAAAAAATCTTAAGATTTTTTTATCTTAAAAGTTTTTATTTTTACTATGCAGTTAATAATTATTTTAAGGTTAAAAATCGTAAAATAATTTCTGAAAAATAAGAGCAAGTGTAGAAAATAATCGCCAAGTAATTTGAAAAAAAAGTAGAGTTATTGTATGGTAAGCAAAACTGCATGGCAAAAACTAGAATTTGAACTGACGGTTTTAATCTGTTTATAATGTTTATCTGACAATTAATCTGTATATAGGTTTTATCTGTCAAAGCAGCTCAAAATCATCAAATATACAGAGATACTCTGTAAAAAAAACGGGAATATTTTGCAGTTCGTACTTGAAAAATTTCTGAATTTTTAATGATTTAAAATCAAACGAAATAACGAAGAAAAATATTTTCAATAACGTTAATTCAATAAATTACCATTATTCAGTAAATTTTGATAGTCAATTTATGTGTCGAGCTCGCAAGGAAATTAAGGTCAAGATATGTAAGGAAAGAAAGGATAAAATAGCTAGAGCATGTAGCCACTGAATTTTCGCTCATTCACTGTGCTATTAAAATGCTATAACAGAAATATGGTCACCATGAATGCTACCAATGCCATCTACGACTGTGGAGCACGACTACGCTTATACTTTTAAAACCTATTGCATTGTTTTTCACATGTGCTATTTTATTTGCCTGCTATTTTCCTTTGAATGATGTTGAACCATGTAGAATAAATACTATAGGTCACGACATTTTTTGTGACATTAGAATTTTCTAATTTTATTTTTAACTACGCAAAAAATCATAGCAGTCACATAATCTGAAATTTATATGCGTAAATGTTATTGAAAAGCAAAAAATACATGGATATGAAGTTCTGAGATCCACGCTGTTTATTGCTTCTTCGGTTTGTCTGGACCTTAGTAATCAGAAAGTTATGGAAGAAGTTTGTGAATATTTTTAACTTTTCAAACGATTACAAACCCACCGTTGAAGTTTATCCAGATTTTTCAGTTTCTATTTCAAGTTGAGTTTTTTTTTCAAAACAAAACATATGTACGGGACAAAAATATAGATGCACTAAACAACAAATTTAGTGGTAGTGACATGAAGAAAAAAAAATTTGAATTTTTTTGCTGATTTGATTAGTTTTCGAATTATATTTAAATTTTTAAATTATATAAAGCTTAGAGATATTTATTTTTGAAGTAAATAAATCTAAGGCCATTTCCATTCGTTTTGAATGTAATATAAACAGTTAGAAATTTAAAAAACTTTAAAAAAAAAGGATTAAAATTTAATTGTTGCGGATGTGACATATTGTGCATGATATATCTGTGAAACCCAGTCTTTAGTTTTTTAAAATATTGAGTTATTTTGGAAGTTAGTAAAAATTGGAATAAATATAAATGACATCAGATTTATTTTAACAAAAAATTTTCAAAAATAATTGTTATAAGAACAGCTAGATTTTTTAATGACTTACGTGCATTTAAAGTCTGCAAATATGATATTTGTAAATGGTAGAAGTGTCCCTTAGCACCAAGCAATTTCACCTTTTAAAACCGTACTGTATAGTAATGTATGGTTTTAATAACCGTACTGTATGGTAATGACTATTTTGGTCAAAACAAACATAATTCTGGTAAAAAAATCCAAAATATACGGTATTTAAATTATTGATTTGGAACTTTTTCCTTTCATAATAAAACCTTACATATGAATTTCCTTTCATACCGAAAATTCCGGTTTTTAAAATTATTGCTTTTATTACTACATATTTAGTAAAAAATACAAAATTGAAAAGTAAATTTAGCCGAATCAATGATCTTTGCCGTGGTCTCAAAACATGATGAAATTACAAGTATCATGATAAAATTACCAAATTTTACATCATTTATTAAAGTTAATTGCATATTATAAAACCATATTTCATTATTAATTTTACCAAAAGCATTAACAAAAGCTCTTCGGTTAAAATTACTGAGCTTTATGGTGTTCCCATAGACCTAGAAACACGGTAAATCACGCTATTCTGGTAGTTTTGACCATACTTTTTTTCTCTATGTGCAGTGACATCAGAATGACAATGTTTCTGAATACACCCATGTGTTCCATATTTTACATTATTTGGGGGAAATAAGATTAGTTACGCTAATAGAAAGAAATTATTTATATAAAAATTCGCTACAATTTTAATTCTATTACCTCACCTAAATAGAGCGAAAAAAAATCCCATTCCTCGTCAAAATTTAAAATTAATGCATACTTTTATTTTATTGCTATACTTTATAAGCAAATTAGGGATATCTTTTCGAATACGCAATTTTACTTCCCGTCTTAAAAAAGCTATCTCTATTCATGTGTCAGAGTGTTCGTCCTTCGTGTCATTTAGGCGCATTACCACGTCCAGCCGAGGAGAGAATGACCTAGTCTCGACTCATGAGTAGCCATTACATTCAAATAAATTTCGTACAATCCTTGCTGTAATGACCATTGCCTAGATACTAGTTTCCGCTCTCAATGGGTTTTTGAATATGTGCGTTTGTCACCTTTGAAATTCGTTCCAGAAATCGAATTTTGAAATTATCGTTGGACAATTGTCGTGCGGAAGTGAGAAAAAAAAATTCGAATAAAATTCATGCTTATTCAATTGTGATTGGTTATTAAATTATTTAGGACGTGTTTATTCTGAAATATGTTTGTACGGAATGACAAATATTAATGCAAAAATTTTTTACACAGCAGTTAAAAATAATGATGTATTCTAATTTAAGGTGAAAAAGGTGTAATTTTTAATTTCCAATTGTAAAAAAATAAAGAAAAAAATAGAAAAAAATAAAATTAAATGATTTTAGGATTTTTGGATAATTGAAGGACTTAAAACAATATGCTACATCTCAGATAAAATTAATGCTGCAAATATTGCGACATTTTCAAATTGTTAAGCAGGGCATTTTTGATGAAAAACAACACATTATTTTCGTGTTGGCAGTAAGGCGTTTTTGTGTACTGCTTTATTATCTAGTAAAATGTTCGATAACTTCTTAAGTACCTGTTTGAAAATAATACTGAGGAACAATTTGATTTTTAAAAAATCACTTTTGGGAAAAGTACGGCCTTGTACTGTATTGCCGCTAGCCCTTCAATTGTTGTGGATAAATGTATCATTTAATCTATCACTTCAATTTTAAAAAGTAACTTCACGAGATTATTGCACTTGAATTAAATGTGTTCTAGTATAAATATTTTGAGACTTTAAATCCGCATGAACTAATTAAAACTAATAATATTTTCCCACTGCTTTTTTTTTCAAGGGAATTTTTTTTTGTTGCTTTAATC